CATGATTCTAAACCAGGGGTGCACAACCTTTTTGCTATTTGCGGCAACATTGGATTTATTTGTATTCGATACGGCCTCCAGGGGGGTTAATGGGCGCGCCGAGTTTTTCGGGGGTCAAAGGTCGGGAAAGGTCCATAGCAAGCTCAAGGTGGAGTTTATAGCTGCGGTAGGTTGGATACGAATTTAAAAGCAAGCACTCTTTTATGACTTCATAAATTTATGCAAAATCATCATCTGCGTAATAATCAGCTTCATTCACTGTAATCGTTTTTAGAATGTTGTGGTCCTCTTTCTTCATCATGTTCATTGGATTTCTCTGATGAAGTGTCGTCATGAGCTTTGTCAAAACTGTCGCAGTCATAGTTTTGTGAACTGTCTTCCTGCTTAGCTTCCTCGTGTTGTTGTTGACGTTTCAACTCTTCATTTTGGAGAAATTCAATTTTGTTCACAACCTTTTTTTTCCTGAAATATTTAAAAAATGAAAGTAAAAAATCTAGAAATTATATAAGCGTGGTGTTGTTTTAACATAAAATAATACAAATATGAGATAAGTGGCGCAAAGCCAACACATTTTTTTTATAACAAAGCATCATTTTTTCTGGTATAGTCTTTTATTACAGCATTTGTTTACGTACAATAATAGTATATATATTGAAAATTTACCCATGCGTAGGACATTGCTGCCACACTGCTTATCGCTTCAGCATCTCCCAAACTAAACTCCGTGAGGTAAATCCCTTCTTGCTCGGCAATTTGTGGTGATATATCCTGGATTTTAAACCGCAGCACTCGTTTCGTTATGGCAGTTCGATCTTGTCTTCCCAACAATGCTTGGATATTTTCCCATTCCTAAAAAATGGAAAAATCCATATGTGAACAGAGCATTAACAATTCATTAATCTTATTCAGTGAAATGTGTGTAAAAGAGAAGACCATATCGACAAAAAAGCAACTAATTCTTACAAATAATTCATTTATAAAAATAATAATTACAGATATCATTACTAATTTTATTTTACAAATGGTTCATTTACAAATGTATGGTTGAAAAGGGTTTTCATAAAAAAGCCATAGCTATGTACAATTCAATTTAAAACGTTAGGAATACGAGTTTAACTATTTTTAGACTCGAATTTGGGTTATACCCCATGTAGGCTACGACGGTTGACGCCCCGCGTTAATAAGTTCGTGTTTTTAAGCTCAGAGATACTCAGTATAAGACCACGTATAATCTGATATTTGACAACCTTTTCAGCGAAGGTTCGTGTTTTCTGTTTCATAATTCAGTAACAAGAGCGTTTATTTATATTAAAATGTTAAGTTACCTTCAGTTCTTTTGGCGATTCACCCAAAATTATGTAAATTGCCATCATTATATTTTTTACCCTTCCCGGAGGTCATTTTTGTAATGGCATCACGAAGTCTCTTCATTTCCTGTATATATAGAAAAAGTTCTTGGCGTCGTCATGCTCTTGCAAATAAGTCTCGAACCTGAACTGTCATTCGAAAAAATTGTCAATTAAAATAGGTAATTTAAAATTATCATAATCAAACACACCAGCTTCTCTCATGTTCATCAGCGCTTCTTTGAGCTTGTCAATTTCTCGCTGTTCCATTGCATTTTTCACTCGGGGGCACCGTTCTTATGGATCTGGAAAATTGTGAAGTTTTCGGTGTGCTTTAAGATCCTCATTAAAAAACGGGGCACGACTTGCTCGCATGTTGGAGCTTCACGTAATTTCGTTTTGGAACAGCTTCATCTAATTTATAACGTGCCTCGTTCAATGTCTCAAGCTTTCTTGTCAAATGCTCTAAATTTGACGTCTCTTCAAAAAGTTCGCTTTCATTTTAATTGGTAAATAAATTTTCAAAACCACTCGATGAATCTTTCGAAGTCTTCATCTTGTCAACAACAAGGCGAAGATTTCTTAAATTGTCTGCGACAGCTGAGAGTTGGAGAGCAACCTTCACTTTTTTAATATCTGCAATAACTCAGCCGCATAGTGTTATTAATATTGAATTGTGATTGATTAATGCAGTGTTCCCCAACCCGAGTCCGCGGTCTCAAATGAGTCCGCGGAGCGTTGGAATGAGTCCGCAACGAGCCAGGAATTCACTGCGGGCCGCAAACGTTTTTGCGAAACTCAACTATCAGACAAGTTTCGATTTATGTTATAATTTACATAACACACAAAAAGAAAGTTGATTCAAATAACAATAATCGAGTCAATAATATTCAACTATTAGAATAGTAATTTGTGCATCGCTTAATTCAAACTACTGAATTTCACAACTCACTTGCGGATTTTCGACGAAAACACGAGTCTGTACACGCTTTGATAGATACCTAAGTGGTGTTTCTCGCGAGTTCGAACAACGAGGAATAAATTTTTGTCAGTGGAGGCAATTCAAAATTTCCAAATTGAAAAGCGGCAATACAAAATACTAAAAATAAAACGGAGAATACCATAAGTTTTGCTTTATGATGGTCTGCGACTGATAAAAACGCTTCTTTAGACATTTCAAATCGCAAAATTTCGGGGAATACCGTAGTTAACGCACCAGGGCATTTTCCCTTAAGATTCTTTGGTTTATTGCCTCCACATTGGTACGTACAGTACTGGAGCGCCGTAAGTGTTGTAGAAACAGCTCAGATTTGTCGAATTCACAAAAATACGGATCAAAACAAAATATAATCGGGCACTTTACCACGCATTTTTGTATCCACGGATTGTCATGGTATTTTCTGAGAGCATTGTTTATATTTCCTCAACACAACCGCAGATTAAATTGATCAGAATTAAATTAGTAATAAAGCAGGGCGATGAATATGTATTTTTGACTTACTATTACTACTATACTTAAAATATATTTTCAATAAGTACTATATTAAGTTATTAGTATTTTCTGGAAATTTATAGCAGTTAGTAGAATTTTTCTAACGGCGATAATAAATTCACAACATCGCAAAAAAAAGTCTCAAAACTAAATATAATCGGGCAATATATTCTTACATTTTTTATGTTCGCAGATTGCCATGGCATTTTAATAAAGTAATGCTTTCATCTTGTCGTAAGTCGACGCAACCGCGAGTTACCATGAACACAATTAAATTAAAATAGAAAGACATTTCAAATTCTCGCCGTTGTCATGGATTGAATATTGTGCCACAGAAAAGACCGTTATACACTGAAAAAAGTCGGTTCTTTCAACGAACGCGTAATTGCGGCAAATTTCCGATTTTGAAATTCGTGAAAATTCTGTTGTGTTTGCTTTTATTGCTTCTTCACAGAAAGTACGGTTGCAATAAAGCACCTTGAGTCCGCAAAGGTTTGCGCCGATGAGAAAATACTCCGCGACCAAAAAAGGTTGGGAAGCGCTGGATTAATGTGATAATAATTGAATAAAGCCATAATGGACACCAGATGTTTCGTCAAATGACCTAATGTGTTTGTTTCATCGTCTTATCAGACGGGGAATATTTAAAGATTTGTGCATTGCTAAGTTTGGGACTACTGAATGAGCGAGCCGTGGAATTGTTGGATTAAAGCGCCATATTATACTCCTTAAAATATTTGTGAATAAATTATGGAGTTACAGCATGTGTGCTTAGAATAAGTACAAAGATGGCAATTCATTTACCACAGTGAATTAAATGATTCATTACACATTACTACATGAAAATATATGTGTATAAATTATGAAGTAGGTGGACTAAATCAATGAAATATTTATTTGTTTTATTGGATTTCCGCATAAAAATGTCTTAATGCTGAGTCGTTGTTCTGTCTGTGTGTCGAGCTGCAGCCGTAGAGTCTAAAACAACTGGGCCGATCTTGATGCGGAGTTTTACGCGGGTTGTCCTAGCCCCGGTTGTGCGTGTTTCATTATGTTAGCGAGCTGCCTTTCATCTTGGTACTCCGAGAAAGCCTTATAAATAAACGTGTTTTTAATATCAGCCCCGGTAAAAAAACGCTAACACTCACGCAAGGATACCGACGAGATGCGCAGCGTTTAAATAAACTGGCAGTTTCCCTAACCCGGTCTCTGCAGTACGCTACCATCACATATCAGAGATCATGGATGACAAAAAGCAGGTGAATCCTGCAGTGTTCAGCAACTTCGAGAATTTTGTGAGTGTCTGTTTGGATCGCGCGTCATAACAATTCACGAGAATTGGATCAGGTTCGGAAATTTAATTTTCATCGACTAGTCAAGTGACTGGACTAGTGATTAGACTTGTGCCTGTTATAGTTCGATACCGTTAGCTGTGCTCTTCAGTCATATTCAGGTTACCACAGCGTTCCCCTACTCCCAGTTTGCAACCGTGCACCTCAAGTATTTGCGGGGATTCCTCATGGGCGGGTAGATGGCTTGTTTTTTTGTTATTTAACCAACATATTGACTTTTTATCAAAAACAAAATACTGAATTAAGTTCGCTCATTACGTTTTGAATATATCGTAAATAACACTGTAAATTCAGACACGCAGCAAATAAATGCCTCATGTTATCAAAAGCTCTAGCAGTGTTTTGTAAACGGGCGGCTTTCAAGTCTAGAAAGAACCACGAGTTTATCAAAATCTTATCCGTGAATCCTGGGATATTACATCTAATCCTTGCATATATGATCCAAATCGCCATTTGAATGGCGCTTTCCGTAGAGGTCTGTCTATTCGTCTACCATTAATACAACCAGTCTTGCGTTAAATTAACTGTTACAAAATTGTCAAAGCCATGTTTGATGCCATCCCGATAACGATCTTATTAATTTTCCCACCCTTCACAAAAGTCAAAACATATGTAGATCTCTTTATACATTGAATCTTTAATAGTAAAATAGATTTTTATTTTAATTATCACCCGTTTTTTTTGTGATACATGTACTAGAATTAGCAAACACGAGTCTTTAAAATTTTAAGTGAACACACACAAGCTAAATAAACGAAAGTAAACCACTATGACTACGTTTTCTCTCAAGTAAATCTTTATATGAAAATCGTGGAGAAATATTGTTATATGGAAACCTTTGTACTTAGGACATGGAAAAGTGACGGTCGATTCCATGTAATTGAAGTAATGACTTGCAGGGTTCCTCTGTATCAGTGTCTAAATCCCAAGCTCTGTTTAGGGCTGTTTTGGCCTGGAATTAAACATAAAGAAAATGGCAAAACAACAAACTTTTGGGACTAACTATTTGAAATAGTTTTGATGTCTGGTTAAGATGTGATAATTGAAATCTTAAGAAACTCTCTTGATACGACTACTGTAGATCAATATAATATTAACCATAAAAATTTATTCACGGCATAATGACCAATAAATTCTTTTATTTAAGGTAGACTTTGACATTAATTGCTGACTTCCAACCAAATATATATTTGAATATTGCAATTGAATATTACATGGATATTTACAATGGTAATACCGTTTTAAGTATGGGTGAAGTTGAAAAAATTATTCTTACCCAAGCGTAATATAGGGCCCCAGCTTGACTCATATCGACTGAATACTGTAAATTCAGCTTCCTGATTTTTTTCTGTGCTAATTGTAAATTAGTTTCCGAAATTTTTTCTACATTGAAGTGTTTTGATCGGTAGTTGAAGGATTTTCTTCCTTCAGAGCGCATAAGTGTCCTGATATTTTCCCAGTTCTATAAAAGACAATGGTACTACTAAAAGTTTCAACTTCTTTAGACAAATATCTGATTGGAATATGTAACGTATATAATGTCGAGACAATTGAACTATAAGAATGTTTATTTGCAGAACTTTATATCAACAAGCTTTAGTATGCAGTAAAAGGGCAAATCCTTTTTCATCGGCCATTTCATATTTCAATAAATGAAGAAGTTTCAGTTGAACTATCACAAAATTTTTAAAACATTTCATGGTATGCTGCATGCCAATCGTGTCTGACCTAAAATGAATTTTTTTTTTTCATTGAATTTTTGATATCATCAATATATTTTTATTTGAGTTCATCTTCTGGGACTATGCTGATTTTTTTCGTCGTTTTGATAACCTTAAAAATGTGAACAAGGAATACAAATTCACACGTAGAAAATGATTCTTACTTCCAACCATATTTCCTCTTCCCCGAGAAGAAGGTAAACAACAATCATTATATCGTGGATTGGACGAAGAGGTTTATTGTACGAACAAATTTCCATTGTAGTCGACCTTGATATCTTTGCAGCAATTTCTTTCAATCGAAGCTTTTGAGAATCGCTCGAAGAAACGTAATCGCTTTCGGACAAACTGCTTTCGTCGCCTATTCCATCAATTTCACTATAGATGCTTGATGAATCGGGAGTTTCACAACAGTTTGTTTGGGTGTTTTTGTTTAATCGTGACGAAAGCGGTTGGATTGAATTATCACTTTTTTGACGTTTCCTCTTTTTCAACAATTCAAGTTGCTTTTCAGCCTCTTTGATCTCATTGTTTCCGATAAATACAGCTCGACGTGCTTCAGTTATAGCGTCTTCAATTTTCTGAATATTCAGACTTTTCAACGCACTTTTCAAATTTTTTCGAATGCTTTTCGATGATCTTATTTCAGAAATTACCATATTTAATCTCCGTTTTACATCTGATACAAACAATTGGTCACTTGTTGTCAGAACGGTTGAAAATGTTTTGAGAAGTGCCAAAGCACTTTTCATATCTTTTATGCCCTTTTGCACGTCCTCGAAATATTCCGGCTTCATTCTAGCTTCGCCAATAACTGGCAATATTCCTGTAACCTGCTCTAATAAAGTCTGTTTAGCCTTTTCCAAAGAAGCCTTAGCTTTACAAGCTTCTTTAATACGGGTTTTGTATTTCTCAGTAAGGACTCCAAATTCAAGAGCTTTCTCTTTGAATTCTGTAATATCCTCAAGCCATGCACAAATATGCTTGTAGTTAGCCGGGTGTCTCGAAAACAATTTTTGTGGTAAGTTTTCTTCCGATTGTTTTAATCTGTTTTCCATATCTAATTTGATAGCTCTATACTCATCCAATCTTTTTTTAGCGTCGGAAGAATATTTTTCGATCTCATTCTTCAATTTTACATTGCCTTCACGTAAATCGTCCAAAATTTTGTCGGCATTATTTACCGCCTTTTTTATTTTTTCTTCGTTCTTTGGCGAGACATTGAGTAAAAGAATTACTTTTATTCTTAACCAACTTTTTTCCAAGTGGTCACACTTTACTTCGATTTCAGTAACGGGTTCTGATTCTGGAACATTGTTAGATTCTCGTGGATCTTCAGTCACATCGTCATCGTTAGTATTTTGTTTTAACGTTGATGGACTTTCCTGGGCGACATCATCGATCTCGTTTGTTTCGTCCGTTAGTTCTTCTATTTTTTCATCTCGAACAATGTTGTTTTTCAAACAGAAGATTTTGTTTTCGAATGACTGCGGATAATGTTTTTCAAAAAGTTTGTCGGCTCCAATTTCTTGTTGCAATTGCCCAAACAAAGCCATGAAAGTGATTAACGTCTCTTCGTTCCCCGTACTTTTGTATTCAAGTAGGATGTTGAATGCGTCTACTAGGCGTATTAACATGTTACGTATTCTTTTTTCAAATTTATTGCTTATGCTCTTTCTCTGTAGTTCTGTATAGTATACATTTTGCAGTAATTGTATGTGAATTTCAGTTAGAGTTCCAAGATTAGACAACACACCATGGCAAATATTTGTAAAAACGCCACAAGAACGTTTTAACCACAATAATGGCATTTTTCATTTTAATTCCTTAATTTTCAAAGATATAACAAGGCACATTACAAAGAGTCTGGATTAGAAGAATGACGCAGTGTTTATAAACGGTTCATAGATGGTTTTTATATAAGTAAATCCAATTCCGGCAGGATACATACGGCAATGTATGTATGTATTGTAAAATAATTTTGAACCGTTGACCCCCCAAAAAACGCAACCCATCGATTTCCCACTTACTCTTACAAACAATGGAGTAAGTATTCAATTTTGTTTACACTTGAACCTCTGTTTGTGTATGATTGTACCATAAAATTTCAGTTATCTGGGACGTTTTGCACAAAAGTTGTGTTTTGGTTCTCTAAGTAAGCCCACACATAAAATTGAAAATCAAAAACCTCGCTTTATGCTGCGCAATTTTATTGAGTCATTGCATTCCATCGCCATGTGAATTCGATCTCTGAAATAACACGGAAAGAGTTTATTCAATTGCTGAATGATATAATAAAGTCAAAACGAGCCATAACCATTTCAAATTTGTGTCAGATAGTTCTTTACTTCTCATTCTAATAACATAAATTTATTTCAATTGCAAATATTTCAATCTTGGGTTACTACAGGCTTATGGTGACTTTATCAACGAAAACCCCAAATTTACACCAATTCGGTTAAAAACGTAAATCGTAACTGTTACAAAATTACAATTATGAATTTCTTGAAATTCAATTTCGCAATTTAAATTTCCAGGAAGATGTTTTTCTACCAGTCATGATTTTTTCAAAATTTCCCTGGTTAATATTCACTTAGAAAAAAATATGTCAACGATTTCGATGTACAACATACAAAATTGCCTGTATTGAGTGTTTCTGTCTATGACGTACCACAATAATATGTTCGTTTTCAATTATTATTCACTGTTTGATTACCGTATACTGTTTAATATCCCTCCGAGAAGAATCGAAGGTTCTGATGTATGATTGTATTCCGTATATTGTTCGAAAACTACAGCAAAATTAAAATGCGTTTTAACGTATACTCAGTAATGTTGATCGTTGGGACAGAATCGGTTTAAGAGTCGGTTTGCCTGGGTCATCCTGTACATTTCAGACCATAAATGCAACAGCTAATATTGTAGAGTGTAGACTGATCCCTTCCGTATAATTGCGTATATTACTCACTCAAATGGTTTAAATGTTTTCAGAATGTCTTCCATAAGAGGTTCGCTGTTAGATACCCGTGGTAGGTTTTGTTTGGGATGATCAATGAAACATGGAGGACACGGGTAGTAGTTATACACAGACATTCTAAGATTCCGATATCTGGATTCCAATTCAACAATCATCTTGGACAACTCGTGATCTTGTTGCTTAAGATTCTCACTAAACGGCAAAACATAATAACATTGAAATCCATATTTGATTCAATAAACAGTCCTTTAAGCAATGTAAACGACATTATACATAGTTGGTTGAAATAATATATTACACAGCAGATCAAAACACAATTGTTTCTCCAATTTAGCTTAAATTGGAGAATCTAGATAAGCCAAATGCTGTATTTATTTTGTAAATTTCGTTATAATGTAAAAATTATTAGGATATTATTAATTGTCTTAATTACCAGCCATATTCAACATTATTCCTTATTTCTCTGAATATTGTTTCCCATTCATTCACTTCTTTTTCGATATCTTTCGATGTGGTGTATCCATCCAACAGTTCTTTAGAGTATTTTTCTAACTTTGCTTTTTGATCACGAACAAACGTTATTATTTCATCCGGAGATGATTCAATGTTTTCTTTTCTGTGTAAAATAGATCGATAATTATTTCAAATTTGATTAATATTGTCAAACCTTAGTCAAAATTCATACGTTTACTTTTGGAAAAAAAAAAATTTTTCAATCAAATTTGCTGATCTCTCTCTCTGACGGGATGGTCATCACTGACCAGCCGTGGCACTCTTCACGAATCGCCGCCATTGTTTCCGGTTTTGTGCCATTCTGAGTAACTCAAGCATGCTTATGTCTGCGATGTCCTTCACGTTGTCTGACATTCTTGTTTTTGGTCTCCCACGTCTTCTTTTGCCAGGGGTTTTACCAAAGAGCAAGTCTTTTGTTAGGCCTTCTGTTCTGGCGACATGCCCCAAAAATCGCAATTTCCTGTCATTGATGTTGTCCAGCAGTGTTTGGCACGGTCCAATCTTCTCCATGACCCATTCATTTGTACGTTTGTCCATCCAGCTTACGCGCAGAAGTCTTCGGTAGCACCACAATTCAAAAGCAGCAATTTTCCTTTTGTCGACTTTCTTGAGTACCCAACACTCTGCTCCATATGTTGCTATTGAGAATACCAATGTTCGTAGAAGTTGTTTTTTTGTGCGTTGTGAAATGGATCTGTCTTTCCAAATATTGGTCAGCGCAATCATCGTTGACTTCGCCATTGCAATACGACGTCTTATTTCTTTGGTGTCATCCACTTTGTTTGTAAAAACTGTACCCAGATAGTTGAAATTTTGTACATTTTCAACAGTTTGGTTGTCCACAATTAAGTTTATATCATTTGGTGCCTGTGTTATTTTCATTACCTTTGTTTTGCTGACGTTGAGAAAGAGTCCTGCTGTTTCGCTGGCAGCCTTTACCTTGTTGGTAAAGGCCGATTGCCGATTTGCCGATCAAATGTTACTTATAGTAAACAAGAGAGCTACGCACAAATATATGGACACGTTAGACCAGAGCGAATCAGTCTTTACCGGTACCTTTGACGCTACCGGTACCCTCAAAAAAGTTCTGAATTTCCAGTAGCAAGAATTTTGCAGAATCAAAACGTACAGCCAGTCATGACACTGACTAAAATCCATGTTCCCATGGATAAAAAATAATACAGCAAAATTTTAGACGAAATATCAAATTTCATAGAATTCACGCAAAATTTTGAAATAAATAAAAGTAATAGCCTTCTAGCGAAGAAATCAATCTTTAACCACTGAAAATTTCAAAGCAATTGGTCCAGTATTCGAAGAGAAAAGCGATTTTTTAAAAACGTGTCAAAGAACAAGAACAACAACAACATAATATTGAAACGATCGTTATGGCCACTAAACGTGTCCAATAAAACCAAACTAGATGTTACACTAGATTAGGGCGGGACGTTTTCAAATTGAATATCTAAATCAGATATTATTGTTAATTTGATATTTTGATTTGAGGACAAGATGGCGGCGACTCGAAATTTTCGTTTCGTTCATAATTTATTATTCGATTTCCAAGCCCTACATTGGATTAATAGGCAGTTATCACGAATAGACTATTTCTGTAATGAATAATTTTTTATAAAAGAGAACTTATTCTTTGCCTCCATTTTTGTTGAAAAACTCACTTTAGGCGGCTTTCAAGCTCCTCCAAAGCGCCCTTCACTTCAGGCATCCATTTTTCTATCCACACGCTGGGAAACGTTTTATCGGTAATGTAATTGACTTGTCCACTAAAAACAAATACCAACGATGGAACTCTTTCTCAAAATATGTTTTATACCGGCCTAATTTTTTATTAATTGTTTTAATAGCTTCAATTCGAACAAATCTCTCGACAAACACGCTTTTCGGTTTGGCATTGTCTTTGAATTTATTGCACTGTGAGTTAATTGGTGAGCATGGAAGTTGAATACGAGGTTTTTAAACGACGATGCTAAGATAAGTCCAAACAAACCTGGCAGGTTCTATCGGTGATAATTCTTGTTCTTGTAAGCATTGGCTTACAAATTCCGACAGCTTTTTCGGATTATAACTTTCCCTGAAACAACAAAAATAGCAGTTACCGAACAAAAGCCTGGCTTTGAAAGTTCGATACGGAGAATCCAAACTGTTTTATGGCATATAAAAAACTACACAACAGTTTTATTCCAAACCACGCAGCACAACTTTCAACTCAATTTGGTAAACGATTTGTGATATCGCACTCTCACGAGCCATTGCACTATCTTCTTCTATCCGGCGTCTCACGAAACTAGAAAAACTATATATACAACAGTTTCATTCCAAACCACGGAGCACAACTTTCAACTCAATTTGTTAAACGATTTATGATATCAAATTTCCACGAGCCATTGCAATATCTTCTTCTATCCGGGGTCTCATGGAACCAGAAAAATGTTTTACCTAGTGCTATCCTGTACCGCTAAATAAAACAAAACAACTAATTTAAAAAAAAAAATTTCAACAAGTTTTCTAATTATGATATTGAGACAGGTTTCTTTAACCATACCGTTTATCTGCTGTTGATGCAGTTTCATTTTTGTCATTTGTATTATCCTTAGACTCAAACAGGATAGAAAGTGCTTCATTCATAACGTCGACCCATCGCTTCTTGACTTCTTCAATTTGTTCATCAAGCCATTCAAAGTGGTTTGCTCTAACCGTCTTGGTAATTATGTCAAAATTCGTTTTAGCACTGTTCAATAACAGTTTTCTCCTAAAAACAATATATATATTAACCAATATATGTTAAACCATATGAGATTATAAAGGAATAATTTGAATACAAGTCACCTGTAAGAGGTTTCCGTCTGAAACAAGTTGAGCGTTTTCAAGTTCTTATATGCTTCGTACTTTATTTGAGTCAGTGCATATTGCGCTTGAAGATTTCTAGGTAAGAGGTACACACACATATGTATATATAAATGAATAGGCTACATTTTAACATTAGAGTAAGAGAAATATGATTTGTTGTGAATTCAATAACTTGGGAACTGGAGTAATATATTTGCAGATGAAATTTTTCTAATGGAGGAAGCCTGTACATTTACTCGCTATTTAAATATTTAAGCAACTAATTATAAAAAAGCTTTGTAACTCACTCTTTATCGTATTTGACGTCAGTAGTTTTCAACAACGTGTTTTCAAAATTTTCCCAAGTATGTTTCACTTCTGTTTTTTTAGCCATGTCAAGTAATTTTTTAACAAAATTTCCCATTGTTTTATCAATTTCATTCGTAGCACGATTCAGGCTTTCCAAATTTTCTGAGGTATCCCTGTAATTTATTTTATTGAGTATATAGACATCGTTAAATATGATTTTCTGGAATGCAAAAAAGGAAAGCATAAATATTTAAAAAACGTTTATAATTACCGACATTGGCTCACGACTGCAAAAAGAAGAAGGGTTTTCTTTCTTATTATTGCTTTTGTGTACAGAGCTTCAACTTCTTCCCAGCATTGACATCGTAAAAATTGTAGAATTCCTTCTGTATCACTTTTGTCTGTGTCGCTTTTTTATAAGCAAAATATAAATTAATCACTACCAAAACCGGTAAAAAACAAAGAAACATTACCACCAACTTTTGTAGTTTTGTTCTGAAAATTTCTAACTCTTTCTCCCATTTGCCCTTCATTTCCTTCCTTTCACGATGGTTTGCTGTTCCACATCCTAGCATTTTCAAACAGTCATTTCTATCTTTTTCCAGAGTTTGCTGAATATTTTGCTCTTTGTTTTCTCTCTTATCTCTGCTATGTAAACTTAGTTATAATTTTTTTTTTAATTCCAGTTGGTTTCGCAATTGGCGCTACAACACACCTGTAGTAAATTGCTTCTTTCAGGTTGAGTTCCTCATGCCATATCTCTGCTATTTTTAGGTACAGTTTTTTCAATGTGAGGAAATTGAAATATTTTAGTATGTGTACACCACTTCTTTCTTCATAGCTATAAAGTAACAAAAATGCATATTATTTGACACGAAGTAGATTTATGAGCCGTTTGAAAGTTAATTAATATCATTTTTTTTCTCCTGATTATATCGGCATCGATATTTTAATCCACACTTGTTTTTTAAATTCATGTGTACGTCTTTATATAAGATATCCAGAACACACCTTCGTGTGGCATTCAGTACAATTCTTATACAGAATTTAGTTTCAAAATTTTGTTAATATCTTGGTAGTCATCTGTCCTTCGTGACCCAATATTTGAACATAATATTTTGATGATAGAGCTTATATTTCGTGCTAAAAAGGTTAACAGAATGTTTGATAAAAGTAAAGCGATTAGCCCGTGAATTGAAGGTAGCGAATATACTGTGTATATGCTTGCCAATTCCAATGGTCATTTTGCCTTGCGAAGAGTTTTTATTTTAGTCGCAATAAACAAAATTTAGTTCAGACAGATTAGGCTAAAATTGGCTAACAGTATTCTTGAATTTTATATGGGTAAATGTTAAAATAATGTTTATGAGCATCTAAACCAGATTCTACGCGCAATCGGCAAAAACACACTTAACATAAAAATTGATTGATACGAGTTACGAAGATCCTCAGCTGATCCATGAACCGTAGTTCTTGTTGGCGGGAGCTGTGCCATTATTAACTGAATATAGTTTGTCAACGCTTTTTTCGTTTTTGGTTATTTATGTCACTCTGTTCTCTCGTTACGCAACGATGGCGTAGTACAGTCCCACTCAAGCGTAGCGAACAATATTCAGTTAATTATGGTTGTGCATTACGCTCCGTCGTGCGGTTGTCGCTCGTTACTTGACGCTTGCATGGTTCGTGTATTAAGCAGGCTGGCGGCCCTAAAGGCTAGATTCTTTTCTTTGTTTGAAACATTCGTGTTTGCTAGTTTATTTTAAAATCAAAGGGTTATTTTGAATTGCTTGTCCAAAGCAAACCCTGTGCTTTTAGGCCTTACTGTATCGGCGTCCTTGGCGTTCAGCATTACTCTGATGTTATTTTGATTGGAATATTATTCACTTCGCTGTGTCATAGGAGACTTATCTGCATTTTCACGATATGCATTTGATAATAATCAGGATACACATGATAAGTTAGAATGACCGACTTCGTATCAAGCAGCAGTAGGCATTTACATTTGCATCTTAAATAGAGTTTTGTTTTTTATTAATTCTGAAAAAAACATCGTGTTTTAAATCAAAGGCTTGTTTTAAATCATTTTTTTTCTGTATTTTTCATTGAAGTACACCTTGAATCGCTGCGAAACTACGCCAAAACGTTGCGTTCTGGCAGCTGCATACGCTGCCGGAATTATAAGTTCAAAAATGTAAGTAACAATTTTTGTTTTGACTTTTACTTCTATTGCGTACATTTATCGCCACGTTTGTATTTACACCAAAGTCATAAGATTTTAACCGGGATGTTTATCCTAGATACCAGAGAGACGTTTTGAGTAAGAAAAATCATGAAACTTAGCTCACGAGCCTACCAGAAAAGCAATTGGATCAAGGGCAGTCTTCGACAAAACGAGTGCGTTACGACAATGAAGAATATACTCACATTGGTGGCAATCTACTGATTTAAACGATGAGACACCCTAGCCTAGGCTACAAGGACGCCGCAACTAATTTGTTATGACGCCATGATAGGGATTTTTAATTTATGTATTGACATAAATCAAGGGGCGCACCAGAAGTATGTGCACCAAGATGACGGACACCGGAACGTAGTATGTGTACCAGGTTAAGTCTTAATTTTATTCCAATTTTCCTTATTTAAGTTCTATTACGAGTTCGGAGACTAGCCAAGTGACACTCGCAGTAGGCATTATTGGCAGGTCATTATTGCGGTTAATACTGTACGTTTAATTTATGCTTAGCATACTTTGTTCTTAAGGTTGAAGTGATTTTTTCAAAGTTATATGAACTCATTTATTCGATCGCATTTCAATTTTCGCAAGGTGGTTTCGTCGCAGGGTCGTTCGCGTAATGGCTTATCGGTTGCGTCTTACTGCGCCAACCACGTTTGTGGTCGCACTGAACTACAGCTTGAGAAGGTATGTATGGGCCTTTCTCTATATTTGTGGCGTTTCGAAGGATTTATTGTAAATAAGAAGCGCTTGGCAAGTTTTTACAACCATTTTTCTTCAACCTATTTAATACAAAAAAATCAAAAAGTACAGTCATTTTGAACAAAACAGGCAAAAAAAAACGATTTAAAACAATTGTTTTAAGACAATTCCTTTTGAACAAATCCCTAATCTGAAATCCACGCTTGTTATGGAAGTGGGGGGAATTCTGTTGGTATTATAAGATATGGTTTCTTCGAATGGATAGTTGCAGTGCAGTTTATAGCTGTTTCTGGCTCGTCTCATAGCTTGTTTGTAGTGTTATATTATATAATAGTTCAACTTATTGCTTTAAAAGGCAAAAATTTGATCACAAATTAGATTTGTCTGTTGGGCGGCGCCCGAAAGAGCACTATACTTGCTATTTTTTCATGCTATGACATATATAAATTAGGCTTAGACTTGCCATACAATCCTCGTTGCCTCTTCAATATCGGAAATAGATTTTCCATGGGCATTGAAAAGTGACATTTCCACATTCTTGTTTTTGAGCAGCCATCCCATAATGTCCTTTCCAATCGATTTTAGTTCTTTTATCCCGATATCTACGATGTGGCCCGAATCTCTCGTATTAGATTTTTCGTCATTACTGCATTAAGAAATAACATGCATATATATATATATACATATATTTATCAATTACATAAAACCAGAAATAAGGGGATTCAAATAATACGTTTAATATATATATATATTATATGCAAGTTCATACATCAGTGAAAATACCTATCAATAATAGCTCCACTCAGAGCCTTGTATGTTACAAATTCCATCTTTGCTTGTATAAAATTTGTTTGAAATTCATCTTCTGACATAATCTGTTCTTGATCTACTGACCGTAGTACATGTTGTAATTTTTGGAAAGATTCCCTTTGCTTGAGTCTTAAAATCGGGTTCATTTTATTTTTTGAAATACACATAGGTGAATGGGGACAAAAATATATCAACACGAAGGACGATACGAAACATTGTACCGTAAATTCCCCGAAAATCATACAGAATCCTGAACGAGACGGCTACGGTAACTGACCAGTACCTGAATCAGAGTAACGATACCCGGTATATCCTGGCTTTTTGATGTCCTGTGACAATGATTCATGGTTCCAGTATCAACGTGAATTAAAATACCCAATACCATGAGTCACTACTGTATTATCAGATCCGGTACTGTAGTCTACCGTAACCCATATAGAACTTTCGCTAAGCATGAGATCCGCATACGGTCCCGGAGCAGGTTCAATTAATTTTTGACGTCACCACACAAAACATCAGATAAAAAACGGATACCATAGGAAGTTTTTAAATAAATAAAAGTAATAGACTTTGGCCAGTAGTTAATGAAAAAAGCAATATTTTGACAAGAAGATGAGAAATACTAACAAGAATGACAACGTAATAACAAAACGATCCCCGAAGTAGGTGGTAACACGTGGTAATAAAAAATTGTGGACAATTTATTACATTACTTTTTGCGGTTGCTTACTCATATTTCGCTAATATTTCCAAAGATTTCTTGAACATTTTCCCCCAAACATCCTCCTTATTCCAACATGTGGAAATCTTGCGAATTTCTTTCAAATTTTCAATTATTCTTTTTCTCTCTCCTTCAGCGTGTTTGCTAAAACAATACCCCTCAATATTAAAAAGAGTACATTATCGTGAATTCAAAAATAAAAATTCTATATGTGTAAAAGAGGCAATTGAATATTCTTTTTGAAAAAATCTTATATCACTCGGTTTTGATTTTCAGGTTCTCCATAATTCCTAACACTCACTTCTGATTTTCTACAAATCCCTTTAATGTATGAAATCCTAATGCATTCACTTTTTCAACATCGAACATATATTTGACCGAATCGGCCCATGCCTTTCGCGTTTGATTATCAGTTGGAGAAATGAAGTACCTTACAGAGCCTAAAACAGTATGAAATTAGGTAAATATTTGTATTTAAAATATAGGCTATATAATATATAGTTCGATCCAGGTTATTCTTTCTGCATATTGATATTGATACCCGCAATGGAGAAGGAACATCTACGTACAATGTAGAAGTATTACCAAAAAGTTTAAAACTTACTCAAAATTTGAATTCTATGGTGTGATTTTTTGACATGGTATAATAGATCAAAATGGGAGACACACAGCGAATACTCAGTAGTCAACTCTTTCCCGTAAATGATCTCAATTTTTGCAACCTCGTGGTCATGAAAATTCTGAAACAACGGTAGTTAATATTGTACGTATGGTTCTACAAATTATATTCAATCTGTAAACAACTTCATCTTTTCCAACAAATGTTGATGGCTAAGGGCGCCGATTGGTTGATTAATCTTATACCTATTACGGTTATTGAATGGGCTGGGCTATTTTTGGTCACATATACTGTGCAAAATGTATTGCAACTTGAATACATTACTTATATCGGTGGTGACAACACCCGTTAAAATCTTTAACGTATGGTGCAGCAAATGCTCGTGGTAATAACTTGTAAAATACTATACTTCATTTTTGTTTTTCTTTAAGTCTAGGTAAAACTCTCCACACAAGTCTTTATCCGTAGCGCAAGTTTTATCGACTGTCCAACGAAAAAGGATTTCTCGGTTGTTTCTTCCTTTAACCTTTTCCAAGTGCTCAGTTTGGAACACTTCCACGTTATTTTTGCAAAAACATTTTCCGAATAAGTTACAATCTTCACAAATATTCTGAAGACATAACGATATTAGTTGTACAATAGTAATGCAGTTAAAATATGGCGTGCATATATATATATATACCGTATATATATAAATATCCAAACAACCTTCACAAAACTTTCGAGTAATCATGTAAAAAAATGGATTTTATGTTTTAAATAAATACTTTAATACATTTTGCTTATTATCAACACGACCTATAACCATGGAAGCCGAGTGATTAACGAAGTGGCGGTAAGTGTTACTGGTATATATGCACATATTCGTATGATAATCCTTGTTCATATTATTAGAAATGATATATTATAATCATAAGCTTGCCAATCGGTGCATATAATAAACGTCCATAGACTTCAAACCTTTCTAAAAATCGTTCAACTTACTGCCCAGTTACCGGGTTCCGCCAACTTACCGTTCTAGGATACGCATGTGATAGACTGACGTTGTTCTCAGTTGGCGTGATAAGTATTTCAATGTCTCTAAATAAACATTCAAATTCTTTAAAATGTGAACCTAAAATTTGATATTTTAAAATGCCAAAAGTAATAATCATTATTGGAAAGCATATTCATCATTATATTGCTTGAACTAATCACAAAATTGTATTTGATTATGCGTCAAAGTTATTTTAATATATATATATATATACACTCAACTGCATACGTGATATAAAATCATCGTTATGAGCTTTATTAATCATAAAGTCGAAACGTGTTATTAGGAAAACAAGTTCGGTGATCAAGTAGGTTACCTCGAGTTTGTACAGTTTTGCCTGAGATTGAGAGCCATTTTTATTTTCATCTTCGCTGTAGACGGCGATTCGTTTTCGTGATGAGAATTTGCGTCCTGAGAAAAATTTCTGAATGATAATCGTATTCTGAATAGAGAGAAAAACATCACAAAATAGTGATTATAGATACGAAGATTATTAAACTTAATAAATGTGTCACAAGAGTAGGGAATTGTTCAAAAGAAATTGTTTTAAACAATTGTTTCAAATCAAGTTTTTTTGCCTGTTTTGTTCAAAATGGCTGTACTATTTGATGTTTTTGTATAGGATATGTAGATAAATGGATATAAAAACTTGCCAAGCTTTTCTTATTTGCAATAAATTCCTCAAAACACCAAAAATATCGATAGAGGCTCATACACATCTTATCAAGCTGTAGTTCAGTGGTTTGCGCAGTAAGACGCAACCGATAAGCCATTACCCTAAAGACCCTGCTACGACGAAACCACTTTGCGAAAATTGAAATGCGATCGAATAAATGAGTTTGTATAACCTTGAAAAACTCAATCACTTCAACCTTAAAAACAAAGTATGCTAAGCATCAATTAACCGAACAGTAATAACTGTAATAATGCCTCTATTTCATGAGAAAAATGCTGCCCTTGATCTAATAGCTTTTGTAGTAGGCTCGTGAGGTTTCATGATTTTTCTTACTCAAAACGTTTCACTGATATCTCGGATGAACATTTCGGTTAAACTCTTATGACTTTGGTAGAAATACAAACGTGGCGATAAGTGTACGCAAAAGAAGTAAAATTCAAAATAAGAATTTTGACTTACATTTTTGAAATTACAATTCCGGCTGCGTGTGCAGCTGCCAGAATGCAACGTTTTGGCGTAGTTTCGAGCCGATACAAGGGGTGTTTCGATGAAAAAACAAAAAATTCATAAAAAAAAATTGATTTAAAACAAGCCCTTGTTTTGAAACACAATGTTTTTTTTTTTAGAATTGATAAAAAAAAAATACACAAGAGTATGTGTCTTTATGAACTGGTAAAATACGCAAAATAGTAAATAACTGCTTATTTAGAAGATCCTTTTCCGAGTTAACATTTAGTCAGCAATTAGTACCACAAGTCTTCCAATTCTTAAACTTTTAATTATAAATATCATACGTCACAGATTGACTTACAGACAAAAGAAGTTTCTTCGTTACGTAAACTGAAAGACTAACATCATCAATATCAGTTATACTTTCTTCGTGTGAGCTGGGTACCACTGGTTCAGAAGTTGACGCTTCGTGCTAAAAACAAAGTAAAATGTAACGGTAAAAAAAAATTTACTTAATCAATAAATAATTAATCACAATGTCATCAAAAAATTAGTTACTTCAGAAGTAGGTGCGAAAGCTGGAGGTCCATCGATCAATTTGCCTAAAATATAAAAATGTCAGTTGCATTATATGAATCAGAATGCGATTATTAGTTTGTTGGAAGAACATATTATAGTAAATGATGCTAACAGTATCCATTTGTGAAGTTCAACGCCTAGAAAAATATTAAATTATTTACATGTGGACATGAAAACTATCCTAGCTTACATGAAACATCAACATTGCTGTATTCATCAACGTCGGGATTTTTGCTCTTGAAAACACGTCGCCATTCATTCGGTATGAACATCTTTATGGAATGTAATGCTGTTTGTGCCTGTTGTTGTGTATCCAAAAAATCAATCTTAATGTCCACGATTTCTCTGTGCATAACGTCCTAAATGAACAAATTTAGTATTACAGTAAGCAGCTCGTGTTTATATATATCTTATTACGCTAACATTTACATTACCTTTATGTTGGGTCCAATTAGCTCTAAATTGAATGCAAAGCACATTTTTTCTCCAATCTTTAAAAAATGATTAAAAACTTCGATCTCTGTTGAATAATTCCGACTTTTATGTATTCTGAGATAATCTTTTTTTCTATTCATATTGCTTTGTTCGTCTTCCTAAATTGGGAATATAAAATTCTATTCAAAACAAAAAATCTGTAGTCACGAAAACGAGATAACGCACGAAAAAATTGTTTATTCGGAGTCCAAAGGTCACATAATTGAATTCGATGAGAGAACTTACTATATTCATGATTAACTGGTGCAAAATGATACTGCTGTAACTGCATGGAATGCTAAGTTGAATAAAAAAAAGCAAATTTATCAGTTTTATTGTAAACACGCTTTATCGTATGGCGTCGCATGTCAGTGAAAATGTTTATGACGAGCAAAAGTCTAGATGTAGTTTTCAATTGCTCTGTTCTGATTTTAAGTTAAGTGCTATCGCAGATCTCAAACGTACAAATTACAATAGTTTCACTTCTCGAAAAAATGGAATAAACGCAACCGAACTTCTTCTAGTGTCACTATATGTATATACATAGTTGATCATTGCATCATATATGTAACATATAAAGTTTCTCACATTCGACTTTTGTTGTTGTTTCCATGATTTGTTTTTCTCATATTGAAGGTTGTTTATAGACGTGTATTTCACTCCCTGAATTGAGAATATTAAATTCTTTTGAAACAAAAAATCCTTAGTCACGCAAACGAAATAAAGCATGAAAAGATTGTTAATTCAAAGATTAACAGTCACCAAATTGTGTCCGATGGCCGAACCTACATCCAAGATTAACTAACACAAAATTATACTGCTGTAACTGCATGGAATGTTCAGTTGAATAGAAAAGCAAATTTGATAGTTTCATTATAAACACGCATTATCATTGGGCCGCATGTCAGTGACAGTGTTTTTGGTTTTCTATATTTAAGTTTGTTTATAGATGGGTATTTCAAATTTATATATTGCGTCACCATAAACCCAAATACCACACTTGCACTCCAAATCAAGGCGTACAAGACTAAAGTTTCATTCAAAAACACTCACTTTTTTCTTCACAAATTTTGGATTTGTGTAACAGAAATACACTCCCAGGTCGGATTTGGCCAGAAGTCTGACACGTATATTCTTTAAGAAATCAGAAGACCTAGTTTGAGTAAAATAACAATAATTGAATAGCATAAATGAGAAGCTCTCAGTTTCTCCGAGTGAGTCGTTGAACCCGTAGGTTTGCACGTTTTCGGCGATCTTCATGAGTGACCTTATTTCAAAATCCTATGCCGTTGCTAGGTGGATAAGGGTGCCTCTAGTCGATTATTGCCTTCCCCGATAACAAGCATACGTATCTGTAACACCTGGATAATATCATATACGACTTGAACTCGTAATCAGACAAAAAGTAATTAGACTAGTCTGGCATATAGTTATGATAGTCAGTTTCGATCTGAAACAAGCATATTATATTATATTTAGATCTCTTGTAGGAAGTCCTGCCACAAACAAATATATATTAAGTATCGTTTATTTGACCGAATTATGCCTCGTTTACTTAATTTAGAATTTTATCTTTATTTTCCACATCACTTTAAAATTCGATGAATGAAAGAAATGATGTTATACTTCACATTCTCCATTTTTTTCTTGATTTGTGCAAGCATATTGCTAGCGAGACTTTCGTTATTTTTTGAATTATCCTTCATGTTAGGATTTATCTGCGTTTTGCTGTTTTCTTCGTCTTCAATATTAAACAGATAAACAGGTTCACTGCCAAGTTCACAAGCTATCTAAACAACATTATAAATATAAATATAGGGAACTTAGAATTTCAATATTAGCAAAAGAGGTCAATGCTCAGATATATGAACATAAATGTCAAAACAGTATTTCAATGTATTATAATGAAACAGAAAAATTTGAGTATCGATCGAATATCGAAAATTTCAAATTGATTGGTCCAGTGTAATAGGAGAGCTATTTATTCAAAACCACAATAGCAGCCCTACGAATACCGAGATGAAAGCTATTTTCATCATAACAACCCCAAGCATTTCAACAACAAAAAAATTGGCAAAACGATTTTTATGGTGACACCTACGAACATTTGCAATTACGTACATTTGCACCCTTGGACATCTGCACGCGCGTACATTCGCACCCATGTAAATTTGCACCAACGTACATTCTCACTAATGGACATTTGCACCTATACGTATATTTACACCAATGCACATTTGCAACCATCACATTTTCACGCATAGGCATTCGCCTCATAAACGCACCCATATTTATGTACACGAATAACCGAATGTCATTGCGAGATATAATTCTTTTCCTCTTTTGTCGGTCATTTTCTTTCGATGAAATTTCGATAAAAACTTAGTCGAATGTACGAGGGTTAGTAGACGATGGCGAGAAAAGTGGTCGTACATAAATTAATATAATCTAGCACAAGACAAGAGAGGTGCTTCGTGAAATACGTATAGATACGAGAAAGCACAATTTTTAGTTGTTACTTATCGATCTTGATCGGTAAGCATGTTGGTAGGTATTTGTCTGTTTGTTTGTATGTTTGTTTGTCTGTTAGATACACGTGATATCTCACGAAAGCGAGATTGAATCTGCTCCAAATTTTGCATGTGCATTCATCATATCTCGGACCAGAAACTTATCGATTTTGGATGAATTATGTCGTATAATTAGCGAGCTATTAATTAATTAGTGACGCGATGAACGGTGTCACTATAGAGTAAGAGCGCATGAATCGATCGATAAGTCTTCGGTCTCCGACAGATATTCTCGTTTACACTTTACAGAACTTTTCTACTCTTATATTATTGGGTCATAATGGTGTCGACACCGATGCGGGTTGTTTTCTGTCTTAATGGTTGGAAATCCTGATTAATCGCATTGAGGTTTGCAGTGAATTCGTCTTCTTTACTATTCATAAACTCAGCATGTCGGTATTTCGGCGGAAATGACAATAGAACATTCTCTACCCTAAATGCTGGTATTCATGGGTGTAAATGTTTGCGGGTGCAAAATTCCATGCGTGCAATTGTCCATAAATGCAAGTATCCGTGGAAGCAAATTTTTATGTGTACAAATGTACTCAGGAGCAAAAGTATGCGGGTGCAAATGTACGCGGGTGCAAATGTGCGCGGGTGCGAATGTTTGCGGGTTGAAAGGTACCGGGTTGAAATGTCCGTGGGTGCAAATGTATATGGGTGCAAATGTTTGTGGGTGGTAATGTCCATTGGTGCAAATGTCCATGGCTGCAATCTGTATGCGGGTGCAAAAATCTGCGAGTGCAATTATTCACGGGTGCAATTGTCCTGGGTGCAAATTACGAGTGCAAAGGTACGTGGGTACAAAGATAATGAAACCACATTAATGCATATTTAATTTACAAAAATGGGCTCATATTTTAGTTATACATTCGTTTTTTAGATTTTTCTATTGAGTTGTGCAAGATTACAAGTTGCCACTTGACAATGGAGAATCCCACTGTAAACAAGAGAGCAATTCTTGCACATCGGTAATTGTGAAGTAACTCAGTGAATCAGCTGAGCATCTGGTTTTCCAAAAATATTTGAAACCCAATCTAGCCGGCCTCCCTCTCAGTCTCATGTATACCCTCCTAAAAATGTCATAACTTTTTTTTCAAATGTGCGAGAAGATTCACTGACATCGCATTGGAAAACTCATTTACGCCGCTTCCTACCAGCCGAGACACCTGCACGTTTACCTCTACCCCGTTGCGTTGAAAACGAGAGAAATTAAAGAAAAAAATTCAAAAAAAGTTTTGTATTTGATATCGTTGTGACGAACACAAGCGAGATCGGCTTGACATCAAATACTCCAGAAAATGAGCATTACGTCATCTTTCAAACGAGAAGATATAAAGAGCAATCATTTTCGCGAGCAGTTTCGGACGAGCTTGTGAGGGTAATGGTTGATAGCTTGTTTAACGCGGAAAACGATTGCTAGCTCGCTCAAATTACTTTGTTTGAAGTAATCACAGATTCTCTGTATATCACTTAGCTTTCAAATACTCACAGACATAAAATTCGTAGAATTGAAAATAAGATAAAGAAAAATGACGCGCTACCGTGATTACGAACACTCGGACAAGCATATATCATGCTCGAAAACGACGCTAAAATGTCTTATTGCTTTTGTTTTGACATACGCCCACGATAAGACGTATACGTAAAGGATATTAACTCTTACTAACCAATCATATTAGAGCCATATTTATATATGTTCATAAGTGCTTTCCCGGCTATATCGGGAGCCAAGCGTGACAAAATAAGTGTTTCCATATCTCAAAGTACTGCAGATTGAAGATCATTGGTCAATTGATTGAAATAAAATCGATTTTTTTTAAATTTTTTTCATTAGGGATAGATTACTTAATTTTAACTATACGTATAACGTCAAGCATACTTCTTGGAGCACGTTTGTAGAGATTTTGGAGAATACAGTGACAGGGATGTTAGTTCCCAATTTTTCCTCTTCTGTCTTATATTTTTCTATAAGATCATTAACTAATCCATCAACGTGACCATCTGATATGAGAAAAATATGGCGTTGTGAATTGAAATCCGAATCTGCGACACCAAGCCGATGGTTCAACCTTAAAATTTACCATACCATTTTCCTCTTACATGTATTATATAAAGTTTAGTCTGGACAATAATTTTACGTTTATCAAGTTTCATTAAAAAATATGGAAAGATTTTTTATTTGGAAATATCTAGTCAAGTTCAGCCAATTATATCCATATAGCCATGTTTGAAGGTTTTTCAAATTAAATTTCGTTGCTGGTGCATTCAGATTATGATATTTTTAGTAGTAATTCGCATCACTTACGATTTTTGCGACTCAAGTCTTAACGCTTCAATTAAACAAGAACATGCTTTTTGATGAGGCTTCCCTTCTTTCCTTGATATTTCCTCATTGCGCTGTCTCACTTTATTCATTAAGTCTTCTCCGTGCCCATTTGGAATATTCAGGACTTCATTCTTTTTGAGTATATAATTTCCTACTTAGATGACTAAGTTATAATATCAGTATAGGTCCATGACACAATATTAAGAGTAAGATTCAATGAAAAAGTTAAATATCAAGCAATGTCTATTCTAGATTATACTTGCCTCAAGATTAATCTGGGAGCATATTCAGGCACCTAAGATTCAGTTAATGATTATGGCATAATCATTTTAATGTATCTATTGGCTCCAGTACGTAAAAATCCATATTGTTTAAAAAATAAATGTTCCTAAATTGTCAGTACCGCAAATTCATGTTTCCAACATTTGTTTTAATGATTAAGTTCAATATAAGAAAAAAACGATTTCGATACCTCGTGACCATTTTTAAAATATCCATATATCATCAATAAATGCATAAATTTTATTTTTTTTATCAGCAGGTTAAATATATATATGCATATAATAAAAGATTATACAATTTGAAACTAGAAAAATTATACCCTGAACTCAACTCATGAGTTACCTTATACTCCTTAGCGATTCGTAGTTCCGGCTTTTCATCAGAAATAAGAAGAGAAATATGATCATCTGTTTTAATTTCTTGAAACACTGACTGAAACACGTTAATACTTGTTAGCCACTTTTAAAGTTTGCAATGAATATACCCAATATATATATATACATATACTGTAATCAATATTACAAGTCAGTAGGCGACCAGGATCTCCGCTGATAGTTGAGGCCCGCTCTCAAGCAACCGGTTGCCATCCATAAAAACTTGAGGATCTTTAACGGCGGTGCGATTAAGAAGTGAGTGGGTTACCATAAAAGCCAGTTCATTTAACCGCTGCGTGTTTTGTAGACATACTCGCGTGACTGATATACTGTGGCTAAAATTACAAAAAAAATGATGTTCACTAAAATTAACGCTTCTCCAGTTCATGAGGTATCGAATCCAAAGACAAATAGTTGGAAATAGTATTTTCATATGCGGGAGGTTGTGTTTTTGGAATTTCAATTTTCAACTTGGTTGGCGAGAAAACGGCAGAAATGTGTGAAAAAAAATGGAAATTTCATAACGTTCGGCGCGTTATTCATTGTTGCCATGGAAACGAAACCTCCATCCGGACCTTCTATAAAACGCACAATACTAGGAGAACAAGATAACATTGGTGAAAAATTACAACCAGTTTGATCCAGCCGTTTGGACGATACGTCCATACAGACAGACAGACAGACAGGACGACTGATAATAAGTGTCTTCTAGGGAGGAGATCCAACAGACAGACAGTTACACGGTCAGACAGAACGACTGATAATAAGGGTGTCCTATAGCGGAGAGATCCAATATATAATGTCATTCGAAATCACGCTACTAAAGTGTCTTTTGAGTCATTGCAACCAATGTATATTATTACTTATCGATCTTGAGATCGGTAAATATGTTGATATTTGGTATTTGTCTGTCTGTATGTCTGTCTGTCTGTTAGATGCACGCGATATCTCACGAAATCGAGGTTGAATCTGCTCCAAATCATAGCTCGGATCAGAAGCCTATTGATTTTGGATGAATTATGTCGTATAATTAGCGAGTTATTAATTAATTAGTGATGAAAAGATCTGGATTTTTGCAAATCGAGGGAACGATTTTTGCAAAGCGAGAGATTTTTGAGACGCGCTGTGTGTGTGTGCGATGCGCAAGTTTTCACGCTAATGAGTCATAGCGAAGGATACACACCGCTAGATCGTAACTCGTTATTTATCGATTTTAATCAGTAAGTATGTTGATAGGTGTTTGTCTGTCTGTCTGTTAGATGCGCGCGATATCTCACGAAAGCGAGATTGAATCTGCTCCAGATTTTGCATGTGCATTCATCATATGTCGTACCAGAAGCCTATTGGTTTTGAATGAATTATGTCGTATAATTAGCGAGTTTTTAATTAATTAGTGATGGGACACAAGGTGTCACTATGGAGTAAGAGCGCTGTTTTTGGGGATCTCCCAACTTTCGATCGATAAGTCTTCGGTCTCTGACCGATATTCTCGTGATTAATCTTTATAAGCATTGTCCATATCCCTCTTGTAATTTTGACGTCGTCGCGATGCGCAAGTATCCTTCCAGAAATTTTCCACGCTATGAGTCAGAGCGAAGGATACACGCCGCGAGATCGTATCATTGTCCATTTGAAATCGTCGCGATGCGCAAGTTTCCTCTGAAAAATTTTCCACGCTATTGAGTCAGAGCGAAGGATACACGCCGCGAGATCGTATCTCGTTACTTATAATTACTCTTTATTAGGCAATGTCCATGCCCCTCTATCATCAGGTTTTGGGGTTGCAGAATTCCGCACCAAAATATTGCTAGACTGTGTTTGAATACACACGGTGTCGCTATGAAGTAAGAGCGGGTGAATCGAAACCGCAGTTTCTGTTTTGGGGATCCCCTGACTTTCGATCGATAAGTCTTCGGTCTCCGACCGATATTCTCGTGTTGAATATTGTCCATAATGAGGCGCGATATATTTACTTTGTATGTATGTTTGCATGGGAATACATAATTGTTGCAGATGCATAAAACGTAACCGAACAGGCGATACGTGAAAGACAAGTAATCTCCTTCAAATTCTTTCATCTTGGGATTCAAACATGCAGTATGTAATAATGCATTGAAAAACTTTTTTAAACCAATCAGGATGGCTGTTATTGTCCATCTACAATAGATATTAATGACCAAATTCGGTTAAGGAAAAAAGCAAAATGACAACCAATTTATGAATCTTATAATAAATAATCCAGATAAAAGTAAATAAATTACCTCAAATTCAGTGAAAACGTCAAAATCAACTACGAATATGAAATGCGTTTCATATGATTTCCGGAGCGAGGGTATCGAGTATATTTTTGGCTCCAATTCCACAATAACCTGCATTCTTAGTGGAGATTCTTCCGGAAGTGATAAAGCGCAAGCTTTAGTTTTCTGTAACAGGTGTACGGTTTGATTTTTATTATTTCATATGATTGATACTTCGCATTATTGATATATTCAGACTCAACACGAGGCTTTTTGCCTTGTTTGTAAAAATGCTTAGAACAATCATGAAACCGAAAACAACAGGAGGTTTTCTGCCTATCGTTGTTCATTTTATTATTTCAGTTATATCAAACTCCTACTATGCCCGATTAATTTCACGCTCTAACTCAGGGTGGTCCAAAGTTGTGGGCTCCGCGGGCCACAGAATTATTTTGGCATTGATCGCGGGCCACAATAGTACCAAGAATAGGTAAACAATGCAATACAAAACAAGCACACAAAACAAGCACTTTTATTGTGTAAACACATAGTTATCAGGCATTGCCAACCTAGGCTAATGGAATCCGCATCCAATGTTTAGTTTTCTATAAAGCCTATATTGTTAGCATATATTCCCGACCAAAACGATAGAAATCCAGGTAACAATTTAGACTGCCCATCACATCTTCAACTTTGCTAGTTGCTTCAGCTGGCCATCATACAAGTCAATTCAGTCACAGTAGTGATATAACAACAATATGTCAAACGATTTTTCTGATTTATTTTATGAGAAGCAATTTAAAATACGATATTTTGATTACTCTCTGGATGCGGCGCGGGGCACAGATAATGGAGCGGCAGGCCACATGTGGCCCGCGGGCATGGGTGTGGACCACCTTGCTCTAACTGGACTCAAAAACACCCTAAATAAAAACGAGTTAATTCTTTCATGAAAAAACTAAAAAAACGCTAAAAGTCGTTGGGAAAATTGCTGAACAAAATTTGCAAATGTTCCAGACCTGGCGCTCAAAGTAGTCGTTCATCTTTTTCGATAAATAGTCTTTTGTGTTGTGTTTCTTGAAATCAGTTTTTGAACAATGCTGAAAACAAAGAAGTATATCACGCTGAACGGAAGAAAATTGCACGCTGAATAAAAGATCTAGATGCAACACGCTGGTACAATTTTTTCTCATAAAATTTATGTCTATATAAAATATTTTTCCCGATGCTTTAACGCTGAAATTCAACAATTCGAAGCCAGATAAATCAAGATTCCTCATCGTCTTTTATATTTTATATATTTCATGGTAACACCGGCATGGTTTTCTGCAGCACACCAAGTACGTTTGGTTTGAAAAGGCAATTATTGAAAACTAAAATATAAAAACGCGCACAAGTAACTCTCATCATGTAGTAAATGTATGTGGTTCAATGTATATCGTGCAGAAACCTTTTTCCTGGGCGACATTTCAATTTAAGTTTGCACAAGCAGACGGCTGTAGTTTTGCTACAAGAAACTAATCAAAATGTCTCTTTGTGATCATACACCACCTTATTATTATCATGTCCTTTCGTTCGTACCAGACACGCGTTACATCCTTCGTCTCCTGAAGTTCCTGTTTCTGTATTTTCGTCATCTTTTTTTAAGCTGATTATCTATATATAAATAGAAAAATAGATATAAACCTGTTGTACTTAATGCTACTTTCATTTACGGCGAAGAACCAAATTCAATCCAGAAGGAGCTAAATAAACCAAATTTTATATACTGTATGTCCGATTCTATAATACATGGTTCATCGTTTATTTACCGATCTACCTATTTGCCTTAATGAGTAATAAACACAAATTTTCTTTCATTGATTTTGATAACTCTCTCACCTGCAATGTCCTTTGTTTGCAGTAAAGTGTACATTGTATTTTATCGCTTTTCCCGAAGATATTCGAAATAGCAGACATGCTGTAGAATTTATACACTAAACCTCAAAGTGAAGAAGAAAATTAGTATAACCTTCAAAGAAGTTCTCAAAAGACGATAAAATTTAGTGCATTTTTGTGTAACTCCTGACAGTTCCAACATTTACTATTGTTCTTATGCTAAATCGTACAGATGTGGATCGAGATATGGCTCTAACTGTACATTTTAGATACATCTGGAGACAATATTTACTGCAGACAAAATTGCACGAAATTATTATTCTTACCTTCAATACTTCTTGAATATGTTATGAGAGTTAAACTCGATTTGATGAACTACAAATATTACCACGTATATGTACCGGGAACAAAAGTATGTCGGATATAGTGTTTACCTGAATGTAAACACAGAAATATAATAGCTGGATACAATGTAAGATCAAGCCGTAATAGCAGCAACTTGATATATAAATTAGCGTCTTTTAGATCAATGAAGCTGGCTTCCCCAACGCGTCGTAACGATTACTAATGTATGGGAGAGAAGTAATACAATTAAATATCAATGCTTATTGTATACGTTCCGTGAGGTGAGCAGTTGAATAAAAGCATTCAAAACAGCGACGCTAGTTGGAACAATTGTTCAATAAAAAATAAATGCTTATTGTATTTGTTTCGTCAGAAGTTGAATACGGTATGCAAAACAGGGACGCTAGTGTGAACAATTGTTTTTTGTTCATCTACTTAAACACTCTCCAGGTAAAGTTTATTTATTTCACTGTGATAGTGCTGCGACATGCAGGAACTCCATAATTAATACACCATATATATTTTTCGTGGTACTGTATAATGTGGGGTGAATATAACTATCACTGTGCAATTATAAAAAGATAAACTAATTTTTATACTAAATCTTACGCACCACACATTAAACGAAAAGATAAAGATGTTGGACAATTGTAGTTTATTCAAAGAATCCTGTCAAAATTTATTAAATATAATTAGTACTGCTGTAAGATCAATTTTATATTGTTGTGCTTGTCGTTGCTGGTAAATTCACATTTCAGTGTTTGTTCTGTGTATTTACTGTCAAATTTATGTATATCTGCATCCAATCAAATAAAAAATAAGCAAAATTTTTTTTAATACAGTTATGCGTATAATATTTCTAGACTTGCAAAATGTATCAACCTTAAATCCCCTTTTTCTTTGTATTTATTGTTGATTATATGGTTTGATCCAATTCATTCCATATACCAAACTTTCATCCACAAAATTCAATGAATTTGAAAATTTATCTGGTTAATTCCTCTATCCTGTTTCTGATCAGATTATATCTGTATATAATGTATAGTATATAGTTTACATATATATATATATATATATATACTAATAGTTTATATTGTAACAGAACCCGTTTCAATTTATTTTTTCAAGTATTCGAATTGGGTGGTAACTGACTCGGATGACGTATATAGTCGCATCGTTATCACCTAGTCATATACCGAAAACTGCATTAATTTTTTTTTTGACGAGTAAAATATTGAACTTGCGGAAGATTGATAAGTCGGCGGTGTCCGATCGCTATCTAGTTTTATTATTTATTACTTATCGATCTTAAGATCGGTAAGTATATTGATAGGTATTTGTATGTATGTATGTCTGTCTGTGTGTGTGTGTGTGTGTGTCTGTTAGATGCACGCGATATCTCACGAAAGCGGGATTGAATCTGCTCCAGATTTTGCATGTGCATTCATCTTATCTCGGACCAGAATCCTATTGATTTTGGGCGAATTATGTCGCATAATTAGCGAGTTATCAATCAATTATTGATATAGTGATCTAGATTTTTGTAAAGCGAGAGAATTTTGAAACCCGCCGAGTGTGTGTGTGCGATGCGCAGTGCGCAAGTTACAAGAGCGGATGAATCGAAACTGCAGTTTCTGTTTTGGGGGATCCCCTAACTATCGATCGATAAGTCTTCGGTTTCCAACCGATATTCTCGTTGTATCATCGTTATGTTTTCTGGTTTGACGAAAAAAATTAATTTTCTCTCTCTCTCAATTAAAACAGTAAGAGTTACAACACATGTATATTAATTTGTGGTATAGTGTTTTATTCAGTGATGATAAGTTTTTTTTTAAACTTTTGCCGAAGGGTGAATATTACCGTACTACCGTACTACTAATTACTCAAACTTCTTGCAGTAATTGAAGACCTTCTTGAATAAAATATTATAATGACCCAAAACATCCCTATATCATTATTATTACTTATCGATCTTGATCGGTAAGTATGTTAAAAGGCATTTGTCTGCCTGTCTGTTAGACACTTTTGTATGTTACGCGATATCTCACGAAAGCGAGGTTGAATCTGCTACAAATTTTGCATGTGCATTCATCATATCTCGGACTAAAAGCCTATTGATTTTGGATGAATTATGACGTATGAGCAGCAAGTTATTAATTAATTAATTATTTAATTTTTTTTCGCGCATCGATAAGTCGGCGGTCGCCGATTGTTATCTCGTATTATAATCTTGTCGAGACCATTATACCATGGACCCTTTCTCTTGTTACTCTACTAGTTATCAATCATTATTATGCTAATAAAAAATAAAATATATATTTATTTATTCAATTGAAACAAATCCATTTAGCCTATATATATTCTTATTTATTATCATTATATATAGTTTAGTTAATCAAAGAGTTTGTATATCGTACTGATGATAGTCTTGTAATAGTTGACAAAGTAGATTGCTTCGGCAGGGTTATATATCCACCAATATGTATATGGAACTGGAAAATGTAAAATTTGATGTGATAAGTATGAATTTATGCAAAATCATCATCTGCGTAATAACCAGCTTCATCCACTGTAATTGTTTTTGGAATGTTGTGGTCCTCTCCATCATGTTCATTGGATTTCTCTGATGAAGTGTCGTCATGAGCTGAGTCAAAACTGTCGCGGTCATAGTTTTGTGAATCGTCTTCCTGCTCAGCTTCCTCGTGTTGTTGTTGACGTTTCAACTCTTCTTTTTGGAGAAAATCCATTTCGTTCACAACATATTTTGCCTGAAATATTTTAGAAATGAATGAAAAAAAGTCTAGAAAATATATAAGCGTGATGTTGTTTTAACATAAAAGAATACAAATATAGGCGCTATATTATAAATTTTTATAATATAGCATCATTCTTTTTGGTATAGTCTTTATTACAGCGTTTGTTTACGTACATTGATAGTATATAAATATAACAATTTTTTACCCATGCGTAGAACATTGCTGCCACACTGCTTATCGCTTCAGCATCTCCTAAACTAAAATCCGTAAGGTAAGTCCCTGCTTGCTCGGCAATTTCTGGTGATAGATTCTGGATTTTAAACCGCAGCACTCGTTTTGTTATGGCACTTCGATCTTGTCTTCCCAACAATGCTTGGATATTTACCCATTTCTACAAAAAAGAAAAAACCATTACGTGAACGGAGCATTAGAGATTCGTTCATCTTATTCAGTGAAATGTGTGTAAAAGAGAAGAGCATATTGACCAAAAAGCAACTATCGGTAATTCTTTTTCAAATAAATCATTTACACATTTATCAAAATAATAATTACAGTTATCATTACTAATTTTTTTTACAAATGATTCATTTACAAAAGTATGGTTAAAAAGTGTTTTCATGGAAAAAGCCAAAGTTATCGACAATTCAATTCAAAACGGTAGGAATAAGAGTTTAACGATTTTCAGACTTAAATTAGGGTGATACCACATGTAGGCTAAGGCTTACGCCTTGCGTTAATAAGTTCGTGTTTTTAAGCTCAGAGATACTTAGTATAATGCCACGTATAATCAAATATTTCACAATCTCTTTAGTGAAGGTTCGTGGTTTCAGTTTCCTAATTCAGTAGCAAGTGCGAGTATATAACCCGCTTATTTGTATTAAAATGTCAAGTTACCTTCAGTTCTTTTGGCGATTCACCCAAAATGATGTAAATTGCCATCATTATCTTTTTGACCATTCTTGGAGGTTTAGGATATCCGTGAACTTCTGATATAGACGATCTCGTCATTTTTGCAATGGCATCACGAAGTCTCATCATTTCTTGTAGATGTAGAAGAAGTTCTTTAGCGTCGTCATACTCTTTTTGCAAATGAGTCTCAAATCTGAATTGTCAGTTAATAATTTACAATTGAAATTAGTAACTTCAAATTATCATAAATTATTTCAGAAAAGAATTTAAATAATTTAACTGGAATATTGTGCTTCATGGTGTGCGAATGTTTCAAGAGTCATTTTCAGATCTTTTTATCAGGACGGGTTTAAACAAGAAGCGTCCAACTTTGAAGAAAATCGTTAATTTGCTTAATAGGTACCGAAATTATACAAGTGAACAAGAAACTCCTAAGGACTGTTTAACTTTTGAGGTGTAGGAAGAAAATTTACTTTCAGAACATTACCGTGTGTCTCGATTGCAGTCAGGCATGCGTATTACATATTAACACACGCAATAGTTTAACTTACTTTCCGTAATCAGCGTCAATAAGAGCATCCAGAAGCATGTTGAAATCTCTTTTGAAAACTCCATCTTGCAATCTCTTCCGCATACGTTCTATTTTGAGATGTTCAAGCAATTGTTTTGCTTCTGGCACAATCGATAATTCTGCTTCGTCGAACTCGCTGTTTTCGAAATCATTCAATGCTTGTTCTAATATTTCAATATCTCTGGCTTCGATGGCATTGGATACATTTTCAATCTGTTTATCCATTTCTCTTTGCCTTCTTGCTCTTTCCCTTTCAATCTTTCGTCTTATCTTTTCATCTTTTTTCTTTTGTTTGTGGAGCTTTTTAAGGGTATCCCGTGCCTGGTCTTCGAGTGAATCGTCAATAACACCAGCTTCTCTCATGTTCATCAAGGCTTCTTCGAGCTTGTCAATTTCTCGCTGCTCCATTGCATCTTTCACTTCGGTGCACCGTTCCTTTGGATCTAGGAAATTAAGAAGTTTCCGGGGTTCTTTAAGATCTACACTATTGGAAAATGGGG